GGTCCTCCTCTGGTCCTCTTCCGGTCCGGCCGCCTGGAGCTGGAGGCCCCTGCCCGGGGCCGCGGCCGCGCTGCGGAGCGCCAGAGCAGTCCGGTCGAAAGTTATCATTGGAGCTGTTGATCTGGAGTCACTCCAGTGGAGTGGCAGCCGAACTCCTCGCCAGCCTGTTCCTGGAAGAGCGTGGAGTGGCGCCGCCTGCTCCTGCCGCGCAGCGCAGGAGTGCCGTGCAACTGTCCTCCTCTCCAACCCTGTCCTGCTACTCAAGGACACGAGACAGGATGGAACCAAGCTGCGCACAGAAAACATAATCTTAGAATAAATGAAGTTGACTTCAACAAAAATGGCTAGTAAATGTCAAGGGATTCTCATTTTCGTTTTGATGTCGAATAGTGTATTTCGAATATGGTGTGGTGGCCAGGAAATGCACCACCGATATTCTCGCCTGGTGTCCTCAGTTGCCTCATCCACTGTCTTCGGCTGCGCGTCCTCGGCTGTGAGTGCCCTGCCCAACCCAGAACCAGCACGTGAACAAACGCCCCCCCCCCCCCATTTTCCCCTTTTCCCTCCCAAACCGCTATTCTCGGACCAAATGCAGCACCTCATTGCTTGTCGGGGTCAGGGCGGCCGGGGCAACGACCGGGCGCGCCGGGACGGGCAGGTGCCTCGGCAGGTGCTCGGTGATGATGGAAATGGGTAAACGATAACAACGGGTCTCCTCACGGCTGCCCGGCGCGGGGCGGGCTGGTGGGGGGGCTCGGACTCTGTAGGACTCCGGTGCTGCAGTACAGCGCCCCGTCTCTCTCGAGCCCGTGGCCCGCGCCGCCTGCCGCCTTAGCGCCGCCCGCCTCTCGCGCAGTGATCCGGCATAAAGGACCGCCTTCGCCGCGGCGCCAGCCACTTCGGCACGTGTTTCTTGCCGGCTGCCGAGGGTTTCACTCGTACAGGGGGCCGCTCATAAGCGAGGTGCTGAGCCGCGCGCCGCGCCCGCCGCCTGTCGAGGGGACGCAGTGTGTCTCCGCCGGTATGTTTTCTCCGTCAAGCTTGCTGACCACCCCGTAGCAGCACCTCCCCCGCGCAGGACCTGGACTGGCGACGTGAGACTGAGCGCCCAACAGGAGCGCGGTGCCTCCCGCCTCTGACCGTGCCCCTGACAATGAGAGAGGCTCTTGAGAAATGCCAGAAAATCTATTGAGATCAGAAAGCATGATGGCAAGCTGAAACGCCAGAGGTCCTCACGCCCGTTTGGGGTAACCGGCAGGACCTGTCAGTAAACGAGAAGCCCCTCCGGTGTTTTTGGCAAAACACGAGTACAGTATGCATAACTGTGCCTTCCGTTAGGCCTTCTTCCTCCGCCGGGACCAGGCAGCCCACCGGGCAATCACCAGGGAAAATAAGAATGGACCGGGACTCCTCCCTGGTGCGGTGGTAGGGTGGGAGCTTCTCAGCCTACTGGGTGAGTACACTCAGCTTAGGAGTCTACCCGCCACGAGCAGGACAGTACTCGAGTGTTCGACTATAGAGCCCGATAGAGCCTATGGCCAATCAGCGATTCCTCATTTGAGCCTCGTGACTATAACTAAGGCATCGTCCGAAGAGTACGTGCGTTTTTCACTGATTCATTCGGGAAATAATAAGAGCTCAGCGCCTGCGAGAATCGGGGTAGGCCACCCCGCAGAACACGCATGCACTGCAGGCAAAGTATTGCCTACCTACCAGGCGTTCTGAGAGCTCGCACTGCTCGCAGAGGCTGAACTTAGCAGGTTCGTAATGGCGAATGACGCACGTACTTTATGGATGATTCCTAATGGAAGCGGCCAATTCTTTGTTGCACGCGTTCAACACGGTGTTTAACTCCAAATTCATCCGCAGTCGAGGGCGAAATCACTTGTAACTCTAGTACCTAAGTCGTACACCCAGACCTGTACTAAGGGCGTACCAACTTGCACTAACAGCGTAATACCGCGTGCGTAAAAAATGGTAGAAATCAAGCGTATTTGTGCTGTAATAACATAATT